CAAATACTGTATGCTAACACATATATATGGAATCTAAAAAAAAAAAAAAAGGTTCTGACGAACCTAGGGGCAGGATAGGAATAAAGATGCAGACGTAGAGAATGGACTTGAGGACACAGGGAGGGGGAAGGCTAAGCTGGGACGAAGTGAGAGAGTGGCATGGATATATATTCACTACCAAATGTAAAATAGATAGCTAGTGGGAAGCAGCCACATAGCACAGGGAGACCAGCTCGGTGCTTTGTGACCACCTAGACGGGTGGGATAGGGAGGGTGGGAGTGAGATGCAAGAGGTAGGGAATATGGGGATATATGTATACGTATAGCTGATTCACTTCGTTGTACAGCAGAAACTAACACAACATTGTAAAGCAATTATATTCCAATAAAGATGTTTAAAAAAAAAAAAGGCAAGAGATAACAAATGCTAGTGAGGATGTGGAAAAAAGGGAACCCTTGTGCAACGTTGGTGGGAATGTAAATTGTTACAGCTACAATGGAAAACAGTACGGAGGTTCCTCAAAAAATTGAAAATAGAACTACCATATAATCCAGCAATTCCACTCCTGGGTATTTATTTAAAGGAAATGAAAACACTGTGTTGAAGAGATCTATGCACCCCCATGTTCAGAGCAGCATTATTTACAATAGTAAAGACATGGAAACAACCTAAGTGTCCATCAATAGATGAATGGATATAGAAAATGTGGTGTATATATACACAATGGAATATTATTTAGCCATAAAAAAAGGAAATCCCACCATTTGTGACAACATGGATGGACCTTGAGGGCATTATGCTAAATCAGACAGAGAAAGACAAATACTGTATGACCTCACTTATATGTGGATCTAAAACAAAAAGAAAGAAAAAAAAATCAGAAAAAGAGATCAGATTTGTGGTTACCTGAGGCGGCGGAGGGGAGGGGGAATAGGATGAAGGTGGTCAAAAGCTACAAACTTCCAGTTATAAGACAAATAAATACTAGGGATGTAATGCACAACATGACGGCTATAGTTAACACTGCTGTATGGTATATATGCAAGTTGTTATGAGGGTAAATCCTGAGTTCTTATCACAAGAAAAAAACACATTTTTTCCCTTTTTTTGGGAAAACTCTATATGAGATGATGGATGTCACTCACTATATGAGATGATGTTGGTAGAACACAACCTTTTTGAGAGCAATGAAGCAATATCTGTCAAAATATTAAATGCCCATTGCCTTTGTCCCAGTAATTCCACTTCTGGGTTTTTCATCATATAGATATACAGTGACATGAGAATGTCCATTGGTACACTCACTAGTGAAAACGTAGAAACCATCTAAATATTCGTCTATAGAGAACAGGTTACATAAAGTATCCATCCAATAGAATTTTATGTAGTGGCTTTTTAAAAAAGGTGAATTTACATGTATTGACATGGAAAGACATCCCTGGTAGATTAAAGGGGGGAAAAGTTGCAGAACCGTGTAAGAGTATACACTGTTCCCTATTTTTCTAGAGGAAGAGATCCACATTTCTATACGTTGTTATTGATGTTTATATCCAGCAGACACTAATTTTAGGGGAAAATAAAGAAATACAAATTCTCTGGAAGAGTGAATAATACTATAGTACGGTTGATGACGATTCCACGACAATTTGCTAGTGACATCTTTAAGTGACCAGATCACTCCCTTCAGCTATTTTTTTCCTTTACTCAGCAGGGGTACGCCTGTGCCAGCTGGGCTGTCTTGGTTTTATTTAGGCAAAAATAAAACCCAGCCTGACCACCCTCACCCAGCACAGACTCCTGTAGGTTGCTTTCTAAAATGGTTAAGCCCACAACCCAACACTCTCATCACAGTCATCAATCAGCTCAGTGTTTCCAACATCGGCCCTCCCTCCTGCCACAGAAATCACTTCCGGTTCACGTATTTGTTCACTCACTCAACAGCTTACTTACCGTAGACTAATACACCGCCCGACGTGGAAGAGAAAGACACATAACACGGCGGCCTAGCTTGGCAACAGCCATCAGGAAGGCCATGGGTAAGGAGGCCCAGGCAGGCAGTGCTGAGCAGAAAGGGGCATATTCCCTACACCCTCCAGCTGGATCGAGGACCAGGAATCTCTACTGCCCACAACTCCCCAAAGGGGTTCTGAGAGGTAGGAGCCTGTTTCTTTCCAGGCCATCGTCCCGGGCCTGAGAGGAAACAAGAGCCCCGGGGAGGCCTGTGGATGCAGGGCCAGAAGAGCCAGGCCAGGGCGCTGAGGCCCCTGCCTTCTCCTCTTTGGTGAGCGCGCTCCTGGCGGGGTAGGGGTGGTGGTGGAGTAACTGCCTGGGAAACCCACCAGGCGTGGCCTGACCCACGGAGCCTGCTCACACCAGCGAAGAGGCGAATCTAACATAGGTGGGAGGGAGGGATGGCCTCTCCAGACTATGCTTTGACCAGCTATGCCTTTCAGAAAGGCACTTCCCCCTCCGTCCAAAACACGGAAGAAACTGACCCCTTGCCCAACATCACGTCTTCATTCTAAACTGCGTAGAACATACTCTACGTGGTATGAGAAATGTAAATACAAGCACACAAATCCACTAACCACAAACACAATTTTGAAATGTTTTCTTCAGAGCAGCTACCTGCATCTTTTGTGAACAATGCATAACCTAAAAGCTAACTTTTCATTCACTATGGATTAGCAGCTCTGCAATACTCAGATGTTTTCAAACCCTATCTCACCCAACATGTTAGATACTTCCCTGTCCCAACAGAAAAGCAAGGGGCCTGTCCTCAGACAGACCTGGTATTAAATCCTTCAGGCAGATTAACTAACCTTTTTTTTAAAAAAATTAATTAATTTATTTATTTTTGGCTGCGTTGGGTCTTCATTGCTGCATACGGGCTTTCTCTAGTTGGCGGCGAGCAGGGGCTACTCTTCGTTGCGGTGCGCAGGCTTCTCATTGCGGTGGCTGCTCTTGTTGCGGAGCATGGGCCCTAGGCGCGCGGGCTTCAGTAGTTGTGGCACAGGGGCTCAGTAGTTGTGGCTCGCGGGCTTAGCTGCTCTGCGGCCTGTGGGGTCTTCCCCGACCAGGGATCAAACCTGTGTTCCCTGCATTGGCAGGAGGATCCTTAACCACTGCGCCACCAGGGAAGTCCCCAGATTACCTAACCTCTTGATCTCAGGTTTCTGTCTGTTAAAGGAGGATAGTGATTAAATGAGGTGACAAGTCCCTTCCACGTACCAAGTACTAAATAAGACAGCTCTCAAGTAGACCCAGAGTTTGATTTATAGCAGACTTTGAGTCAATACACTGTAACAGTGAACAAATACTCAATTGTAACTGACATTTAGTTTGGTTCTTATCTTAAACCAGCTACTACAAATTTCCCATCTGAGGGTAATTAATTTAAATTATATAAGGTATATGCATGTGTATGTGTATGTGTGTGTGTGTGTGTATGTGTGTATATATATCCACAAAATATTAAGTAAAAAATAGAAGGTATATAGTACTACGTACACATACATACACAAACTCACGTATACACATTCACATGTGTAGTGGCAAAATGGCTGAAGTATGTGGCTGTTTTCATTTTCTTTACATTTTTCCATATTCCCCTTGCCTCATGTTAAATTTGTTTTGTAGAATGAGCAGGTGTTACTTTTACAATCAGAGCTTCAGAAAAAAATAGTTGCAACTGTGCTCAGATGGATTAACTGGCTGACAGAGTTCTACCAGACATTCAGAGAGCACCAAACACATCTCCGAGCTGGGAGTCCTGCTGAAGGTCATTTCGGCAGAGATGATACCATTATGCGTTTACACAGTACTCGACAAGGTGCTTTCACGTCCCAAAGAGGCAGGACTTCTCATTCCAGTAACCTGAAGCCGGAGGAGTCCAAGGCTCACCTGCCAGGTCCCACAGGCCAGCAAGGGCGCAGATCTGCACCTGACTCTCTTGCAGCCACAGCCTCTACCCTGGCCTCCAGCCCAGAGCCCTCCTTTCTGAAGGGCTCCCCGGCCAGGTTCAGGTTGCTTTCCTCGTCACATGAGGTTGGAAGTGGCCATTAAAAACCATTAGAATATTTCACATTCAAATACCTCAGACATAGGCTGAATTTTGTCAAGTAGTAGTTTGAACATTTTAAAGAAATGCTCTCAAAAAAAAAAAAAAGAAGAAAAGAATGTTCTCAAGCATTTTACAAAAATAATTATTTTGCTATCTTAAGACATTCAACTAGAAACATAAAAGTTGACTGTGTACTGCATAAATGGATGTTCATAAATCTCCTTCAACATACAAATATCTCTTGCAAGTATCTTCTAGTACATTTCAAAAATCTCTACTCACAAAATTTCCCTTACTTTTAAAGACTTTTTAAACAATTAACACCAGAAGAAACAAAAATAACTCTTCAAGGAGCAAAAAGGACTTACGAAAACTTCCCTTTATATCTAAGTAGTATTTTTTTTTCCATCTACTCATGTCAATGAAAAGGACCCCACACAGACCACCAGTCCCACCCAGAAATGCTGCTGAAGCACCATTTTTACAAAGCGTTAGTTACACTGCCCTGCTTTTGAACATGACCTGACGTTTGGGTTAACAAACCTTTCGTTTGCCTAAAAAGAGCGGGTTCATTGGGCAGCAACACTTTCAAAATGTTTATTTAGCTGAAATGTGAAGATTAACAAAATAAGGTAAACACGTTAAAAAATAAAAAGGGGGAAAAGATCCATTTTTGTCTGATTTGCGTTTTGGGAAACTTGTGCACCACAGACGTTTACAAAATATCCTGAAAATAAGAAGCAACAAAACCCAAGATTTATCCACCATGAACTTAATCCCTGGAAAATTCCCCTGGACCCCTGGCTCACTCCCTACCCCAGAGCTGCTTGCTCCTGGCCCCTCTGACATGAAACACGCGGGAAACCTCCATCTATAACCTGGAGCTTTTATAAAAAAGCCCTCCTGGCTTTTCAGCCCTTCTCCAACGGCACTCACCTGCTTGGAACTGACCTCCTGTGTTTTATTCAAAACTTTCTGTGAAAATTCTCCCTTCTCTGATGGGGGAGAGCATTCCTCCTCCGAAATCACTGGCCTGGAGGAGCCCGTGGCCCTAGGGCTCCTCCTGAAGGACCACCGCTTGTGGACAGACAGCAGGGTCACCTGAGGGTCACCCAGAGTCACCAGGAAGGACGGTTCAGAGCTCCCGGGCATCTGGCCCCCAGCTCTCTCCATCGCTGTGTTCACAGTCACACCTTCACCTCGCACAACAGCAGTTCACCTTCTCCAGGCTATTTGGTCATGTTAGAAGAAAACGCTCGAAAAGCGTCCCCCTAACCAGCAGAGGGGAGGCTAACTCGGAGGCCCAGTCGCGCAGGTTCCCCTCTGCCCCTGAGCCAGCCCGGGAGAGGCTGCCAGCCAAGCCTTCAGGAACTTGAGCAGGCTGCACACCGCTGTATAAATATTCGCTCTTGCTTATTTACCCCTATCAAACCAATTGGCATCCTCTCACTCGTCCATGGCATCTGGCACTGGGGATGTTTGCACACGGCCCTACGCGTACCCAGTGCCGCTAGGACACCCGGCCGGCGCGTACAGGAGCCCAGCACGCAATCACGTCCCCACACTGAGCAGTTTCCTTTTGGCCCTGTGCACTCCCCAAGAGACCAGCCTGGAGGCAGGGGAGAAATGTCACTTCCTTTTACTACCAAACTTCGAGCGCTTTCTTGGAATAACTTCAGCTGCCTCTTCCATAGCTCCAGCGCTGGTGGGGTGCAGATCACTAGGGGAGAAAAGTATTTCCCAGGCAACATGACTTGCTTTTTCAAGAAGGTGTAAGAGAGTTCCATGTCTCCTGCAGCTTTGTTCTCCCTTGGACCAACAGCTTGACTTCACTAAGAGCTGACTGCAGAAACTCACGGGCAAACAAGACTCATCCGTATTTTATATGCGGCAGAACCGTCGGGAACTAAGGCACAGTTCAGGCTTCTGAGGCTACCCGCTGCTCCACACGAGGATTAAGGGTGGCGTAGACAGTGGGGCAATCGGGGATCCTCATGCTCTGTCGGGCAGCCCCGCCTACCTTCCCACCCTCACCCACTCAGACACAGGAAGGAGGCGACCTCATCCCCCATGGGAGGAACAGCTGTGCCAGCGCCATCCCTGGCAGCACCTCCTGCGGCATGGACGTGCAGGGTCTCCACACTGAGGACGGAATTGAGTCAGTTGAGAAAACAGTTACTCTGTGTCCTGGCTTACTCCCCCCAGCTGAATGTGCCCTTAGTCGGGGAAGAGGGGGTCGCGGGGGCGTGCACCGGAAGAGGGTGTTTAGAACCACGCCCCCTTCTGCTGAAGGCCACTGCGGGCTCTGCCTCTTTATGGGTTGCCTACAGTCACCCCTCCTCCCCCATTAAAACTGCCATCGCTGCCCCCCAAGAACTCCTGGCCAAGAGACCTGTTCTCTCTGAGAGAAGGCGGGCTCACCACGGGTCCATTCCCCACGGGTCAGTCCTTCAAGACTCTTCCTTATTCTTCCGCCTCTCATTTAGTCCGTGGAGATGAAACTACTTGTTTGCTTCCACTTCTGAAACACGCTCAGGGCAGCCAGCTCCCAACGGTGTCTGAGTTGCCTTATCTTCCATGTGTTTAAAAAAGAATCCACCTCCACTTCCAAGAAATGCCATTCAAATCAGTGACCCAAAAAGGAAAGGCACGCTTGATGCCAAGGACCTTGGCCCCCAAACCCATGCAGGGGTCAGCGTAGATGAGCCTGGCGTACCCGTGATCACTCAAATCCTACTTCTTTACCTATGGCTTTCATGTTTCCTGATAGGATCTGTCAGGAGCTATGTATGCCTGCTGACCCCCTCACATTTCCTTTATTGGGCATAAGTGTGTTTCCATCTCTTTGAACACCAGATTAAAAAAATTTTTTTTACCATTTTGGGTAGAAATCCTCCCCAAAGGTCATTTATCTTTCTGTTATCTTTTCAAATATGAGTTACTACTCTTAGTTCAATTTTTCCTTGGTGATACAGGATCGTTATCTGCTTCTGTGCTGTAGCTATGAATAGCTAATAAGGAAAGTATGTTGGCCTCATATGTTCTAAGTGCTTTTCAATAGTCTACCCTGTTAGCACAATAACTATGGAAAATTTGAATACTTTACTGTAAAATAATTTTAATTCTCCTAAATGGTCACTCAGACTCAGAACACAGCCAGAAGAAGGAGGCTGGGCCAGGTTAGGCTGTAAAGGGTAGGAAGTTTAGACTTTATCCTGTGGATAGGGGAGAACCACCAGTTTTGAAGCAGAGGACTTACATGATTACATTTGTGATTTAGAAATAGGTTGGGCAGGCATGAGAACTCAGAGGAGGGGGGATTACAGAGTTACAAGGAGCAGAGCGGGATTAATAGCAGAGGAGGCCCTCAGGGCTCTGAGATCAAGAGATCACAGCAGGTGACGCCAGTTTGGCAGAGAGGAGGAGGAACTGGGTGGGGGGCAATTCTGGGGATGGAAATGGTGGATTCGCCCTGGTTCCTTTGGAATCTAAGGGACCCGCAAGACAGCCAGGACATGAGCCAGGCTCCCAGACTAGAGAATCAAGTCCAAATTCCCCTTTCTGGCACCTCCCCTTTCCTCATACCTGACCCCTAGGTTCCCGCCCCTTCCCCATCTAATCCTCCTTATCCAAGTCCTGCCTCTCAGGGAGTCGCCTCCACCCAGACTGGAGGGGCTCCCTCCCTTACCTGAATTCCAGTATCACTAAAGCCAACACCACAGACCTGGCAGGTATTATTGGGGAAGCAGTCTTCTCCCTCCACTGAGGATGCACTCAGCTAAGTCCACAGTTGGCCAAGCATGCATTCAGCACCAGGTGTTTGTCGAAAGCCTGCTTTCGGTTTTAAGGTTCGTTGGATTCACTGGCAAAATAACCGCTCATTACACAAAAATAAACAGCTTTAATCAATTCTTTAATGAAAGGTGATTAAACTTAATTTTAATATACAATCATTAGAAGGAAAGCAATAAGAATATTAGAGACACACAACAGAGTACACATCACTGAATTGGGCCGACACCTACTTCCAGATCCAAAGAGCAGCTGGGAAGTCCCGAGGGACAGCAATCTGGAGCCCCAGTTGGGAAGGGTCCCGGGCGGTGCGTCCACCCCACGAGTGAGACTTCAAATTGGAGTTCTGGGGGCTTCCATTTATAATCCCAGGCCTCAAATGGATATCATCAGTTTGCGTGCAAAAACGCAGCTCTGGACACACGTTGGCAACGCTGTTGGTTTCACCATGTGAGTCACAAGATTTTCCAGACCCCACAGGGCTGGCCAGGTCCCCAGGGCTCAAGAAATTCCAAGACCCACTCCCTTTCTGATCGTAAGGGCCACCTGACTTGCTAGCAGCAATTGTTAGGTGTGCAAGCAAGCACAGTCCAGGCAGGGTCACAGGTCAGGCAGAGGCCTGCTTCTGCCTCTGAAACCTGAACGAGAGTACTTTATTTATTTTCCCAACACGAGGAAACATGTAAGCTCCTGGAAGACAAGGTCCTTATGTCTTCTCTGCCCATAGATTTAACGAGGTGATGAACAAATATCAGATGTCAAGCAAACGCTCACTGAGTTGGACTACAGACTGGATCTTCATGGTGTTCACGGAGGATTTTCATCCTCAACACGATGCAAGGGCAAACTCCATTAGTGTCTCGCACCCCTTCTAGAACTACCAGGCTTCAAGTGTCTCCATACACTAAAATATTTTGCCTCCCACCTGTACAAAGTTTTTCAGCAACTTTCCAAAGTAAAATGCATCTTGTTTCTCTCCTACCCACCTCCCCAGGCTCTGTGAATCTTTTCTGTTTAAAAAGAAAAATCACTTTGGCGTCCCCTAAGCAATCCTATTATTATTACCCAAGAAGCCTGGGCCCAGAGGCAGATGGGCGGCTCCTGTTTCCGTGAAGCTCGGGGGACAAAGGACCCCGCTTGGAGGAGGTGCATCTGGCTCAAATATTTCAGCATTCACCAAGATTACCTGGCTCCACCCAGGCGGAGGCTTCTCACAAAGAACCTGGGTCGGTCCTCCCAAGGCCGGCAGAGGAGGCGGGATGCCGTGATGGGACAGGAGGACAGAACCTGACACTAAGCTGTGTGCCGGGAAGCAGCGGCGCGGAAGGTTCCCATAACACCCCAGAGGCCGACAGCCAGATATCTACGTGCCTCGTGCAAAGGGAGACACGAGACACTTTCTGCCCTCGGGAGTTTATTAGCAAGTTCGGAGAGAAGACCAGTAGCGGAGAGTGCTGAAGTAGAAAGAAACCACTCCGACGTGAGGTGCTGGGGGCGAAGGAGGACTTGCCAAGGGAAGGACTGGTGGGCTGTGGGGTCTGCTCCATGCGCCCCCAGGAACTGGATACCAGCGTGTGAGCAGGACAGCAAACAAAAACAACTACAAAACGCCACCTAGGCAAGCTCACCGGAGGCGGTGATCTTCAACAAAACCACACGTGGCTCAACAGCCCAGAGGGGAAAAAATGATAATAGCTCCACGTTAGGAAGAGACTGCATGGGGCCAAAGAGAGAAACACGGAGACTCCATCAAAGAGTCAAAGCCAACCCTCGGACTCCCGCAGGGAATCACATGTACCTTCAACTTCCTTGGCTGCCCTCCTTACCTGGGGCCAACGCTGCTTACCTCTTAAGTTCCCACACTCTCCAGGTCTGTCTCCTCGGAGCTCCACAAGGATAAAATACAACACGCCCCCAGGCTGGCTGGCCACGCTCTGACTGATGCCTGACCACTAACCTGGAGAAGCCTTGGTGCCACCGGCAGTCCAGCTCCATCTCCCTGGTCCTCACCCTCCAGGCCCGGGTCCCACACCCTCCCTGCCCCTCTGACCTCCACTCCCACCCCACCCTCCATCTCCAATGACCAGCCTGACCCCTGCTTCCTGAAACAAAGGATCAGAAAAGAACCTGCAGACATCTCAACCATCCACCCACCTGATTAGAGCCTGCTGAGCTGTGAGGAGCCCAAGGTCAGCCTTCAGGTACCCACAGCTCCTGGTCTCCCTCCTGCCACCCCCCACCCCCGCACAAGAGACCAGTCCCCAGACCTCGGAGGGCTGCAGTGGCTCCCAGCTCAGCCCTTGGCTTTCTTCCCTGTCTGTACTCCTTGTGATCTCATTCAATAGTCCAGTAGAAATACCACCTTACAGGGACTTCCCTGGTGGTCCAGTGGTTAAGAATCCACCTTCCAGTGCAGGGGACGTGGGTTCAGTCTCTGGTCTGGGAACCACATGTCGCACGGCAACTAAGCCCATGTGCTCTAGAGCCCACGGGCCACAAGTACTGAGGTCGCGCACCACAACAAAGATCCCACGTGCCGCAACTAAGACCCGATGCAGCCAAATAAATAAATAAGTATTTTTTTAAAAAAGAAAGAAAGAAATAC